AGTTTTGTGGTATTTAAACATATTAACTGTATAGTTTTCATAGGTCAGCCTTTTTGGAGAAGTTGGTATGAGGGATCGTTGGGGAGAGTTGATTGTACGCAGTTTTTTTTTTATTTCCACTTAAATTATATATATATTCATATATAGACATGGCGAATTCGCGAACAGAAGCCAAAGAGTTACCTTGTTTGTTTAAATTTCTCATTGGAGATTATCCGGGAAGTGAGTTGGCAAAATGTGAAATACTTGAAAAGCAAAAGTGGTAACATGCAGATGCTCCTATAGTAGTGAATAAAGCCAAGGCTTTGGTTAAGTATCTTCCAAAATTGTCTCTGTTCCTTAATTCTTTGACTAATTATTCCGTATGTCAAAAACATTATAATAATATAATTGTTAAAAATTTTGTTCTTGAGCAATTAGAAAAAGTTAGAAATTCTGTTTTTTTTATTCCAATGAAAAAAAATAAAAAGAAAATCGAATTGTCTAATAATGAACTGAATTTTTGTGATTTTAAGGTTCAAGTGTTGTTACCGAATCCCGAATATGAAAGCCTTATAAAAAAAATTAATGAATTAGAACGTTTAAATAAACAATTACTACTCGAAAATAAAATATTAAAGAAACAATTGAATAATAAATATGATAATCAACAAGTGTGTGTTGAAGCTGCTATAGAAATCACCAAATGAGAACGAAATGCCTTATATAATGATGTTGTTAAATTAATAAATGACTGTAAGCGATTTCATTTAGATAGTCTCTTAAATTATTCCTCATCTCAATGGCTTATGATACATAATCTAGTTGTAGTAGAATTTATAAAAACTCTTACATTTAACAAAATGAAAACCATTACGAAGGAGAAAAACTTTTTAAATATGCTGTAGTAATTGATAATATATATAGAATAAGACATTTGAAATATGTATCTTTGATTAATTTAGCACTATTAGCAATAAAGTACTCTATAGCAAAATCTAAAACAATAATTGACATCGATGGCCATATTATAAATGCTAGTGGTTTTACCAAATTTATTAAATGACAAGAAACTTTAACAGGTAATTCTGAACCATTTCCAAACAGTTTAGTATTTATGGCATTTGATAACGAACAAAAAGGCCAAAAAAATTATTTGGATCGCAGATATAATAAAGTGATCTTTCATACGGTCACTAGTTTTGTTTTATTTAACTTTAATCCTACTAATCAAATACAAAATTTTGAAAATCCTTGGCTATATCAAAATCTTAATGTGTTGCAAATTGAAAGTTTATTTGGTCTTACTCCAGAAATGCAAGTATTACTTGATCGTCAGCTTCACGATTATCTTTCATTTATTTTAACTAAATTATGCGAAGAAAAAAAAGAAGATATGAATGTTATTGACAATTTAGTAATTAATCAAAGTGCTAGAATAAGCAATCAAAAACAATGTCATGAATGTGGTAAAACTGAAATTGAAAATTCTAAGCGTAAATGTCCTCAATGTCATGCGAAACTTCCTACACTTGCTGAAACTCAACAAGAAAAAGAACAAACCATATCCGATAAGAAAGACAAGAAAGATTTAAATAAGCCATTAATTTTTAGACCCTATCAACCCAATACAAGTATATCAGATAAATCTACAAGTTCAATAAGTATACCCAAAATTTAGAACCTCAAGGCGGTGTTAAAATATCTGATATTCTTGTTCCCGATCCCTTGCCAATCAATCCAAATTCCGTTGAAAATATTCGCAAGGTTTTTGACCATATTTAAAATATTAGTGGAATTAATAGTGGTAATCGAAAATGGATTGTAGTAGTTTGTGACGGACTTCCTTACCATTATGCACAAAAATTTAAAAATGAATACCCGAGTATCATTTTGTTTCTGGTCTACTTCACGAAGAAATGAATATGTTAAAAGCCTTCGTAGAATTGAATTGGTAATAATATTTAAACTACATTCAATTACCAAAATAATGAATGTCCTATATCCAAAAAGGCTCAAAAAAAAAACTATATTAGTATAATGAAAAATTTACTATCCAACTTAATAATTTAATTATTAAACACTAACCTATATAACAAATTTCATATAATGCATTAGTGAGTGACAAATATAGCAGAATTTTTATACCAGCTTATATTGTTCGTTATAATTAACTGTAATTTTAAATATAAAAATTAATAATTTTTATTATATTACGAATATAGGGACGTTGACTTACGAGATTTTGCACAATGCCAAGGATATAAAACTGAAAGTCAGTTAGGTTATTTTAAAAAATATGCTGATCACCATAAAGCATGGGATTCAGTGTGTAATATTTACTTGCATACAATAGCAATGGAGTTGGTTTGGCCATATGTTGTTTTAGCTTCTAATCTGTCTATTAATGGTTTTCTTGATTGGGCTAAAAATCAAAAAAATGAACTATACAAATTAAAATATCAACAGGTATGTATTTAT